GCATACGCACATCATGAATTGCTGATCATCCATCGATGGGCACTTAGGCTGTTTCCTTCTTCGTGCTACTGTGGACGGTGCAGTGATGAGCCAGGGTAAGCACACGTCGGTTCGTGCCACAGCTCTAATTTCTCTAGGGTACCTAGGAGTGGGATTGATGGGCAACATGGTCTTTCGACCGCCAATCTTTTAAGAGGGCACCCTGCTGTTCTCCACCTTGGCTGCCTCATTGTGCAGCTCCATCAGCAATGTCTCAGGGTCCCAGGCTCTTCCCGCCCTCCCTGCCACGTGTTGTCTCTGACCTTCGTTATGAACGCTGGGTGAGAAGGGGATTGCATCATGGTTTTGATTTTGGTCTCTAGCTACAGCTGTGTAGAGGGTCTATCCGAGGCAGAAGGGCACTCGATGGCAGCTGGTGTTTGGCCATTAGGGGAGAATAATCTCGAGCGTTTCCACGTAAGTTTGTTGGCAGAAAGGAGCTCATTTCTTGGTGTTTCCATCCAGAGTGAAGCAGCGGCCTGATCACGGGCAGGGTCATTCCTGCAGGGCTAACTTCTGAACTAGGTCAGGAGCAGAGGCCCCCTACTCTTCCTTCACAGAAGGGAGGCCCACTAGGAAAGATATCTTCCTGTCCCCAAATGTGCCAACAGCCACCGAGTCCCTCCTCCATCAAAGACCCGTCGCCGATGATCACAGGGAGACTGGCAGCTTTCTTTCGCTGCCAAATATGGACCTAGATCTTCCCCTACTGCATCTGTTGCTGCCTGGGTTTGTCTATTTCACTCTTGTTCCCCATCTTTGGAAATAGTTGGCTTTGACCTAAGATGAGATTACTGCTTCCCTGACCTGATCTAACCTGGTCTGGTTCGGTTTTCGACTCCATAGTCTGTGTGTTTTGGGGTGCCCAGGTGTGGGGGGTGCATGCCTATGAGGGCAGCTACTGCAGTCTCAGATAAGTGTGGGCAAAGGAACAAGTTCTAAATCATTCCCCATTACACCTTTACACACCATCTAACCATAAGCATGTCACAGGCCCTCGCTGGACTCCCTCTGGACTCCTTGAACCTCAATGTCATCCAGCCAAGACTTCCCGGCAACATTCCATAGCCAGTTAACCCCACTGGGACTTCCTGGGGCCAGGACAGAAGGCATTTCCATGGTTCCTGCCCTGCCCTCACTCTGATAACACTGGAGTCCAACCAACCTTCTGAGGGGCGTTCACTGGTCAGTGGGAAGGGGATATTTGAGGGAAGGAGGTGTGGCGTAGAGAGCTAACAGGGAACTTTGTTATGGGGCATCTTGGAACCATTCGTGTGCGCTTCCAGGGGGGAAGGTTTAGTGGGTCAGGGCCAAACCTGGAAATGGCTTTCAGGATTCCCTGTGTGTCTCTGGTTCCAGCAGCTCACAACTTGGCAGGTGCTGTTTGTTGGTAGGGGTGGGTGGGGTGTCCCAGGGTGTCCAAGAGAAGGATCCCTTTGTTCTCAAAGCCCCTGGGCAATCCGAAGACTTCTCAGCTATCCCGGAATGGGAAAGTGGGGAGGAGATGGATGCCTGTGTGCTCCAGCCGTGCCCCCTGGGCGCTGCGAGGCCACCCACCTTCTGCAGCATATCTGAAACCCTGAAGTCTCACATGATGGGCAGATCTTGCCGGACAGCAAGAGAGGGCAGAGGGCTGTCCAGTGGGGAGGAAAATGAGGCAAGGAAAACACACAGGCCTGCAGAGAAACCATGCATTTTATTGGCAACAGAAGAGATGGGCAGAGAGGGCTGTGTGTTATATACATCAGAACACTGGTGACCATGCCGGGGTGCAGGGCAGACCCCAAGGGCAGCGGGTGTCAGCTGAGGGGTCCCTGGACCATCCCAGACACAGGCAAGAGTCAGGGAGAAGAGAATGGGAAACCCCCTTGACCGACCAAGGCCAGGGTCTGGATGGAGGAGCCAGAAGCCCCCGACTTCTGACCCCCAAGAGGCCTCCTCGGAGGAAGAAGCTGAGCAGGGAGGGGAGGAGCGGGCCTGCAGGGGACGCAGAGGGTGATGGAGACCCTACCAGGGGCGGTCTTTATCAGGATCGGCGCTGGGAGGAGGAGGAGGAGGAAGAGAATTTAATGCTGCCGCCCCGGTTGCTGCCGGTGCTGAAGCCTCCGCCGCTGACTCCAGCGAGACCCCCGGAGCCAGAGCCAAAGCCGCTGCCGCTTCCAAAGCCGCTGCCACCCCCGAATCCGCTGCCGCCCCCGAAGCCGCTGCCGCCTCCGAATCCGCTGCCGCCCCCGAATCCGCCGCCGTAGCCGCCGCCGTAGCCGCCGGCGGACGCTGAGGTCGTGCTGCCGCTGCTGACCACGGCTGTAGGAGGCAGAGGACGCACCGCGGTCAGCGCGCCAGCGCGCGGGGCACGCGGCTTCTCAGCGCTGGAAACCAACCCACGGGGGCTCTTCTACCCTGGCCCACGGGCGCTGTGAGTCGGCATCGTGTTTGTCGTGTGTGTGTGTGTGTGTGTGTGTGCGCGCGCGCACACCAGGATAATTGGAAGAGAAGCCAGGATGCCCTGTACTGACCACTGCACACTGTCCTGAGGTCATAAACGGCCCCCTCCTATCTATTTATATCATGAAGGGTGCTTTCCTGTGGGGTCAGCTCTAGCCATTCAGTCGGAGGGTGCTCATCCCGGGCTGCCTCCTCCCATCACAGGGCTCCCCAAGCACTGTCTAGAGCTTTGAAGAAGGTCCCCAGCGCAGAACAATTAGCCAGTGGCCATCAGCTCGCTCCCTAACCAGGAGACCCTTCCTACTGTCCTTAGAAAACGTGGTTCTCTCAGCCACTACCGCCCTGTAATAGCACGACCCTCTGAGGCTGGACTCCCGTGGTCCAGAGAGCCTTGGCTACTTACAGATGCTCACAGCACTCTGGCACTCTCCAGATATCCTGGGGGAGAAAGCAAGAGAAAATCAGAGCTCCATCACCAAATCCACGAGCGAACGAACTGGCCATCTGCGCTGAATTCGGAAGCCTGGCCAAGTTAGTGCCCTTTGTGCCCGGCCCACCCCTTGTGTGGGCCATAACACAGAGCCGCTGAGCGAACACTGGTTGCAGATACCCTTTGGCTCCTTGCAAAGGAAGTCCGTTGGTAATGGCAAGCACTTTTTCGAGAGGCCCACGGCAGGCGGGGGACCTCTCTCTAGGCAGCAGTCCTCCATCTCCATTGACTTGGTCACTCACGAATCAAGCCCTCGGCATTTGACCTTGGGCCTATGGAGACCAGAGGGTCTGTGGAGAGATTGGTTCACCCACCTGCACTCCTCGCCCTCCAGCAGCTTCCTGTAGGTGGCGATCTCCACGTCCAGGGCCAGCTTGACGTTCATCAGCTCCTGGTAGTCCCGCAGCAGCCGGGCCAGGTCATCCTTGGCCTTCTGCAGGGCGTCCTGCAGGTCCTGGAGCTTGGCATTGGCGTCCTTGAGGGCCAGCTCCCCGCGCTGCTCGGCTTCCCCAATGGCTGCCTGGAGGTTAGCGTTCTGGGGAGGATGAGATAGGGAAAGAAGAGTCAGGGAGGACCAGGGGTCTCTGAGTCTTAGACTGGATTGTCCCTCAGCAAGCATCTTAAAGTCAGGCAATACCGCCCCTCCCCTGGCTCCCCCATCCATGGAGCCATTTTCCCATGGACTCGCCAGTCATCTGGACTGTCTTGGTCCTGGAATAGGCAGATGCTCCCTAGGAGGATCTCTTGGGACTCCATACCAGGCTAGGATTCCAAGCACCCTGGCCCAGGCTCTCACTAGTCTTCCAGGCACCAGCGCCCATCGCCTTCCCACCTGCTTCTTGACGTTCTCGATCTCGGCCCGCAGCCTCTGGATCATCCTGTTGAGCTCCATGATCTCGCTCTTGGTGTTTCTCAGGTCATCGCCGTGCCTGCCGGCCGTGGTCTGCAGCTCCCCAAGCTGACAACGGAGAAGTCTGTCAGCAGCACGCCACCAAGTGTTGGGACATTCTCTAGGAAGGTCACTGGGTTTGAAAACTGTCTCCTCTCGAGTGTGGGGACAGGAAGTGGGCCCCCTACCTTGGTCTGGTACAGGCCCTCGGCCTCAGCCTTGCTCCTCTGAGCGATGTCCTCGTACTGGGCCTTGACCTCGGCGATGATGCTGTCCAGGTCCAGGCTGCGGTTGTTGTCCATGGACAGCACCACCGAGGTGTCGCTGATGTGTCTTTGCATCTGAGACAGTTCCTGCCAAGACAAGGAGGTGGGGAGGGGAGGCACTGCTTACTCTCAAAACCTCTTACAAGTACCCCAAGGTCCCAAGCAGCCCCTGATCAGCAAACCCATTCACTGGTTCTTAGCTCTGAATGTGCATCTGGCTCACCACTAGCTAGCTCCCAACCGCTCAGGAAACTCCCTATCCTCAGCCCATCCCGTGGGACCTGTGTCTCTACGTTGGAAAACTATTCTAGACATTCTAGTCCAAGGCCTGAGGTACCGAAGTGCCTCCATCTACAGTCTGCAAACTTCTTGCCCTCTGCCTCTCCCCCTGTTGTCTGCGGAAGTAGGAAGCATCCTCACCGCGTCATACAGGGTGGTCATGAAGTTGATCTCATCCAGCAGGGCATCCGCCTTGGCCTGAAGGTCCACTTTGGTCATGTAAGCAGCATCCACATCCTGAGAGAAAGACAGGCGCATAAAAGCCTGACTCCGTCAAGGACCGGACAACAAACTACTAACTGCAGCAAGAGAACAATCGGGGCGGACCACCCAAAGGTGGTCTCCCCCGGGAGAGGTCACGCTCATCGCCTGGGCCTGGCTGGCATTCAACGTGACTCAAAAACTAACAGCAAGTCAACTGAGTCCTTCAGGGACCCTTCCAGACTAGGGTGTCCTCGGCTGTATTTCTTCCTCCAACTGCCTGAAGGGGACAGTGCCCTGGCGCCAAGTAAGAGGAAATTCCCCAGATCCACTGAAACCCTACGACCACAAGCCCCAGGCACCTCACACACCACCCTTACCTTCTTCAGGGTTACAAATTCATTCTCGGCTGTGGTACGTTTGTTGATTTCATCCTCATATCTGTAAGAGTAAACAAGAAATCACCCAGTCAGGGCTTTAAGGGGGTCCTGACGGTCCTGTGTCAGGAGAAATCCCTTGGTACCAGGTGGGCCAGGACAGTTGGTCACCAGATCCCAACTTGCCCCAGAAGCTCTCAAATCCTACAAGCAGGATTTCTCTCCCCTCCGCCCACCCCCAACTTGGCTCATAACTTGGAATTCAACCCTTTGATGACAATTTTATTTGAAAAGGACTGTACTTGAAGAAGGGAGGTGAGGATGGGTCTCATGACCAAAACACCCCCACCAGGAAGACAAGGAGGGAAGCAATCGCCTAATAACACCCCTGCCCAGCCGTCGGCTGAGAGACACCGAGAGCCGAGCCTCTGAGACAGGGTGGCCCAGGCCATCTTCCCACTACTGCCCATCGCTCACTTCTTCTTGTAGTCCTCTACAAGGTCCTGCATGCTCCTCAGCTCGGAGTCTAAGCGGCCTCTCTCCCCGATGATGGCATCGTGGCGGGTCCGGAGGGAGCTGATGTAACTCTCGAAAAAGGGCTCGAGAGAGTTGGTGCCTGTGATGGAATTGGTGCCCTGCTGCTGGAGGAGGGTCCATTTGGTCTCCAAGACCTTGTTCTGTTGCTCCAAGAACCGCACCTGCCAGGCGTTGGGGACAGCAACACAGGCAATGTTTGTGACCGGAGGAGAGGAAGGGTCTTCGCTCAGGTGGAACTGGGTGTCTCCGTATCTCCTGCCTACCCCACCCCCACACGGACACAAAGGTACGTTCTAGAAAAGACATAGAAATGGGCTCCTGCTGTCACTGGAGCGATTCTGGTGGGACCGTTGCATTAGCCAGGGCACTAAGGATGCAGCGCGGTTTGGAACGCTGCCGGAGGAGGCAAGGTGGGTGAGAGAACTGCAAGTAGCCCCTGCCTGGAAGCAGAGGGCTTCTTAAAAATGCCCACCTCCGAGTTCCTGCAGATTTTGTGACTGAGGCTCGGCTTCCAGAAGCTCAGAGCACTCTGCAAAAAGCATCATGGCCATCTAAGCTGGACTGAAACTCCAGCCCATCAGAGGAGGTGACTCACGAGGAGCTGATACTGGTCACAGTGGAGCAGTCAGCACAATGACACTCTCTCCAGCCTTCTGAGACCTACCCTTGCCAGAGGACGGACACCAAACGCTCCTCTTTTCCCAAGAAGGTTCACAGAGGGTACAAAGTGAGCTGCCAACTTCTCCCCCTACCCCCGCCCCCAGAGACTAAAGTTCCTCTTAAACCTCTTGACTCCCTTCTGTAGGGCACCAGCCTCCTTTGGCTGGCACAGCTCCAGGTAGGAGAGAGGGCTGCCTGGGAAACCACAGAGCCAAGCTCATGCTTGAAAAGTTCATGGTTGGCCCAGTTCTCACTCAGACCCTTCCCTGCCAGTGTCTGTGGCCCTGGGGCCCTGACTTCAGCTCAGCTCAGAGAGGCAAGCTTGGCCAGCACAGGGCTGGACAAAGTGACAGGTGACCTGAGCAGACAGACACTCAGACACCTGGAAGCTGGTGGGTGCTCAATTCCAAAGAGTTGATCACTGTCTTTTTCCACCCTGACTCCTCCACTCACTCATACGTGTGGACAAATCCGGAAGCCCTGGCCTCAAAGTTCAACTTAAGTGTTTGCTCTTGCCCCTCTAGGACTTATCCTAAATACTGTGTTTAAATAGCAAACTCACAGCCTAAAACTGGGGTTTAGGGAGAGCCCTCATTACCTTGTCAATGAAGGAGGCAAACTTGTTATTGAGAGTCTTGATCTGCTCCCGCTCCTGGGTCTTGACTTGCCCGATCTGGGGGTCGATTTCCACATTGAGGGGCTGCAGGAGGCTCTGGTTGACAGTCACTTCTTGGATGCCTCCAGGAAAGCCACCAGGGCCAAAGCCACCAGGACCACCGAAGCCACCTCCTAGTCCTCTGCCACCACCAAAACCACCCCCAATGCCACCCCCAAAGCCAGCTCCATAGCCACCCCCATAGCCACCTCCATAGCCACCTCCATAGCCACCTCCATAGCCACCCCCATAGCCACCTCCATAGCCACCTCCACAGAGGCTACGTCCTCCACCATAGCCACCAGCCCGGGAGCCACCAGCTGCGACACTCATGCAGATGCTCTTGTTGCCACCCAGGTTGTAGAGGCTGTGGCTTCCAAAGCCACCACCTCCACTCTGGAAGCCACAGGCCCCTCCACTGGCTCCCCCAGAGCGAGCCACGCAGCTCATCCTGCTGCTGCCGGAGACCACGGCAGAGCGGCCAGAGAAGCCCTGGCTGCGGCCCCCCGACGTCTTGCAGACTTGTCTGTTCATGGTGAGAGAGCTTGGCGAAGAGAAACGTGCAGGAGCAAAGTGGGGACACGGAGAGGAGAGGCCGAGGAGGAGTGAAGGGAACTGACAACTTCTGCAGCACAAATCCTTTATATACACCTGAGGAGGTTGTCGGGCTCAAAGGGAAGCGAGATAATTAATCCCACATATTCATGGGTTGGGTTTGCCCCCAAGGCAATAGTTTATTCCAGGCTACCAAACACACCTTGAAAATAATCTGAAACGGTGAAAGTGCTAAGGTAGCAGGCTTACCTGTCGGGGGGCGGTACCTGGCGTTGCGCCATGCTTGGGCATGGCTATCTCTTAGCTTTGTCTGGCGGGACCAGGAGGCTAGCTCACCCACGTCAGGTGCCCTGGCACCGGCCAGACAGAGCTGGGAGGTGGGATGTCTGAAGCTCTGGTTCTCTGGTGGATAGGGACAGTGAACCCCACCCCTCAAAAGAATCAAGGAGAGTGTCTCAATGAATTCCATGGGCAACCAGAAGAAGGCCTGGTACAATTGACCAGAGGAGGCTCTGGAGTGCCCACTACATGCCTAGCTCTGTGCTAGGCTTGGGGACAAAGTAATGATGTCCCCTGCTCCAGAGCTATCACAAAATCCTCCGGATTTCTGCCTCGACCAAATGAAGGTTAGCGTCAATGCATGTTGATGAGACAGTGGTACAATAGAGCTTGCCAAGTCTGTGCTTTTTTGGGGTGGGGGGCAGGGGGGAAAGGCAGACATAATATACTGACATAGCTGAAGACTTCTCTGAGACTTCCTTTCTTTTTATTCCCCACATCTTGGCATTGCTGTGATTTTAGCCCAAGTACCAGGGCACAAGAAACTCAACTATGCATTCAATGCAGAAGGCAACAAATATTTCTCAATGGCCTAATAGGTGCCAGAGACACAAATAGAACATGCAGGGACTTTGGGGGTGGGGAAAACATCTCCAGTGGTGCATGTGTGCTCCGGGGGGCTCTGTGGTCTCAGGTCTCCAGAAAATCTTATCTCAGGAGACCAGAGGTGGAACCAGCAGACTGCTAAATACAGCTGTCTCTGCACCTGCAAGACTCCCCCTGCCTTGCAGTTTACAGAGGCCTGGGGACTGGGCTTGTGTTGTAAGAGAGGAAGGCTTTCTTGCCCAGCTCTGGAGCCTCCCTAGCCAGTTTCTTTTCTTTTATTTCTTTTTTTTTTAATTATAATAGTTTCATTGACATATCTTACACAATCCAATATATCCATTCACATACAATTTTGTTGTTCAATCCCATTAAGTGGAGTTATGCAATTATCAATGCTATCAGCTCCCTGTTCCCCCCTTTTCCTCAATCCGTCTCTCTTCCCGTACCCTCAGAGAACCATTACTCATGTTACTGTTTCTGCAAGGTTATCTATCTTGATTTTCATGTACCAAACAATCTTAACCATACGATGAACATAAGCAAATTTAACATGACTAATGAGGTTAAACAAATAACAACCTTAGTAGTAAGGGAGGAAATATTTTTAAATTACAGGATAATTATGTGGCTTATCAATGGCATACCACGCCCTGGACTTAGCATCCTTTCCATGTGGCCCTTCTGAGAGGGGCTGTCCAATTACCTTGAAGGTAAGTTTGGGGTCTCTATTGCATGCATACCCTTTCACATCGAGTTGGTTGCACATTTGTGAACCCCTTCCTGTCAACACCTCATGATCACACAGGCTGGTGTGCTTCTTCCATGTGAGCTTTGTTGCTTCCCAGTTAGATGGCCACTTGTTAATTGCAAGCCTTTAAGACCCCGGATGCTATATCTTTTAATAACCAGGCACCACCAACTTTCTTCATCACATTTGTTTATGCACCCATTTTGTCTTCAGCGATTGAGTCAGGAAGGTGAGTATCGTACAGTGCCCCATTATTAGAACAAACCATTCTTGTACTGAGATAGCCAGTTTCTTATCCCTCCAGGACAGGTCTTTTTTTCACTCTGCTGCATGTTAGACCCTGCCAGGGTGCAGTCTGTGTGGCCTTGGCAGGAGCCTCCTGAGAATGGGGGTTTCTTCAAGTTCACCAAGCATGGCTGGTGAGAGGCTCAAGTGCAAGGATGTGAAATCGTCAGAGAGTGACCTAGCTTTTGCATGTCTTTCTGTCCTCTCTATGTTGCCTCCAACCTTTGTAATATCTCCTCCCTCTCCCAGGATAAAATTATTAACTCCATGGGTGCTTACGGTCTTGCTGTCTGAGTAACGTATTCCCTCCCTTGGTCCTTTGGGCATTGCTTTGGTAGTCATGAATGGGTTCTCTTAAAGGTTGGCTTGTTAATTAGATGAAAGGACCCCATCAATGAACGAATGAATGAACTCAAACCAAACTCACTGCCATTGAGTCGACGCCGGACTCATAAAGACCCTGCAGGACAGGCTAGAACTGCCCCTGTGAGCTTCCGAGACTAACTCTGTATGGAAGTAGAAAGCCCCATCTTTCTCCCCTCATTGAGCAAAGTAAGCCTTGGTGCTGGATTACAACCAGATAAAATGGAAAACTAGTTCAAATCCCATTACTGGAGATAGACAAGCTATTTACGATCATGAAGAACCCAGGTTTCTTAAATTTAGGAAAATGTTTCTGCAATGTAAAGGCCCAGTGGGAAAACATGGGAAGGTGACTCAGCATTTGAGATCACTCAGTCTGCTTGTTCCCTCCCCAGTGTTGGGACGGCCTCTCGAGCATCTCTGACTTACATCCCTAATCTTTCACAACTGCTGCCCAAGCTGCATGTGACCCAGGAGTGCTCACACACCAGCATCCGCCGCCCTCTCTTTGCTCCCTCAGAGGACCCAGGACTTTGGGAATTAACCAAACGCAGCTGGATCAGACCCTCCCCGTGACTCACCATGGCCGAGGCTGCTGAAATTCTCTATGCTTCAGCATGGTTATAACCATCACGGTGGCGCATTGGCTCTGCCCTATGGATCTCACAGAAACCCAGCAGAACGAAGGAAATCTATGTAGGTATTTTAAGGCAAGTAACAAAAATGAAGGCATATAGATTTTCCTTCTAATGTGTAAAAGGAGGCACCTTGGAGCCAGACAGGTCCAGCTTTTAAATCTCATCTCTGTCACTGCACATCCATCATCAAGCTGTTGAACCTCTCAGTGCCTCCGTTTTCTCAATACAGTGGAACCTGGCTCCTGAGTTGTTGCCATGCCAACCAGACACCTAGCACACGCTAAGGCTTCTGCCAATGTTGACAATTATTTTCAACTTTTTTTTGAACTTGCAGTGAGGACTGCACACCGAGAATGTCTTCTTGCAGAAGAACCACCCCCCAAATTTTTTTGAATGATGCAACTAGATGCAAATGATCCCAAGAGACTCCATGGGAAATGTCAGCACAGGGGTCTGGCCTTCATTTCCAAGCCAACCACAAGAAATCCATGGACAAGCACAAGACGTGTCTACTGAGCATGGACTCTGCCCGTCATCAAGCGGTCACGCCAAGCAGAGTGGTTTTTAAGAAGCTCAGAATCTAGGGAGGCCAAATAATACAAGACCATGTAAAGTGCTGCTTAGTCCCTGTAGATAAGGACCCCAATAGGATGCGGTCCAGTGTGGTCAGGGTCAGCATACCCCAGGGCCAGTGTCCATCAAGATCTCCGTCCAGGGTAGCACCGTGTGTGTCACAGTAGAACTGCACACTGTAGAGTTGTCAATGACTGTTTTGGGGTGAGGGAGTGGATTTCTGGGCCTTTCTTGCAAAACATAATGTATATTGTACTGTAAAATATATATCATCTGTAATAACAAAGGACTACTTAGTTATTACTATATAAGATGTAATATGATACATTAAGAAAATAATATATTATATAATAGCTAAGCGGAGTAAATAGCATATTATAAAATGTAATAGCTACGTTGTACTTAGTTATTTTTAGTGTTGTCAGAGTGTGAAGTATCCAAAAGACAGTAAAAAGGTGGAAACTTGCAGAAAAGCTTCATGAGGAGACAGGAGCTGGACCTTCCAGAGAGGGCAGGACCTGGACACCCGGAGAGAAAGCTATTCCGGCCTAGGTGGCCATGAGCCAAGGCTCAGCACTGAAAATAATTTGGGCTCAGAGAGTGGAGATTGTCATGGGCGCTTGTCAATTGCACCCAACCAACATCTTTAAACACCTTCCCCCCATCTTGGTAATTAAAGCCTTGTGATTCCCCACCCTACCTAGGTACAAGCCAGAAAGCATATTCCCAGATTCCTTGGCAGCTAGGGTCCAGGAATGTGAAGTAGGGATTTCCGATGAGATGGTGGCAGTTTAAGGGGTTAGCCATGGGTAGGGGAGCTGCTCTTTCTAGCGAACGCAATGTTGGGGACATCAGTTCTTTGTGGGCTGTGGTGGAGTTCTGCCATCTAGCCCCGAGTACCGTGCGCACAAGCAGTAGCAGCGACTATGGTATTTTCGCCAGAGCAGTCGCAGGCATGGTCGAGGCTGCAGAACTCCCAGTGCACAGCAGCCGTGTCCCTTTGTCAACTATTTCCAATTTGCATTGGGGAGAAGGCTTCTGAGCTTTGCAAGTATGAGCTCTGCCCTGCACAGGGATGAGAGAGGCCTGGCTGGAGCGGAGAGGGATTACGGAAGGAGCCTCTGGGAAAATGAGTGAGAACAGGATAGAGGGCTTGCCTTTTGGGTTACAAAGAGATGAGGCTACTGCCTCGTCCCATGGGGGGCCTGAAGTCTGGAGTAATCGCTCTAAGAATTCTTAAACCCGTAGTGAACTACAACACTTTATTGCACCCACTCGGGGGGATACCAGCCATTCCCGAAACCCTGGATTCTGTGCCAAGTTTATCATTTCTTGAAGGAGACGAAGCTGGCAGAGAAGCTCTGAGAAGAAAGTCACCATGGTCCTCAGCTAGTCCTGGACTGGGCCTCCCCAGCAGACCCTGGGAAGAGGAGGAAGAAGGGTAGAACCCACACTAACGTAGGAGTCACGGTAACAGAGAAGGCACG